GCTCTCTGCCCTTTACCAATCCAGCCACGGGCCCATCCATCTGGCCCATCAAGACTCACTCTCATTTCATCAGTCCATAAAACCTTAGAAAAATCAGTCTTGAGATATTTCTTGGCCCAGTCTTGATGTTTCAGCTTGTGTGTCTTGTTCAGTGGTGGTCATCTTTCAGCCTTTCTTACCTTGGCCATGTCTCTGAGTATTGCACACCTTGTGCTTTTGGGCACTCCAGTGATGTTGCAGCTCTGAAATATGGCCAAACTGGTGGCAAGTGGCATCGTGGCAGCTGCACGCTTGACTTTTCTCAGTTCATGGGCAGTTATTTTGCGCCTTGGTTTTTCCACACGCTTCTTGCGACCCTGTTGACTATTTTGAATGAAACGCTTGATTGTTCGATGATCACGCTTCAGAAGCTTTGTAATTTTAAGAGTGCTGCATCCCTCTGCAAGATATCTCACTATTTTTGACTTTTCTGAGCCTGTCAAGTTCTTCTTTTGACCCATTTTGCCAAAGGAAAGGAAGTTGCCTAATAATTATGCACACCTGATATAGGGTGTTGATGTCATTAGACCACACCCCTTCTCATTACAGAGATGCACATCACCTAATATGCTTAATTGGTAGTAGGCTTTCGAGCCTATACAGCTTGGAGTAAGACAACATGCATAAAGAGGATGATGTGGTCAAAATACTCATTTGCCTAATAATTCTGCACTCCCTGTAGAGGAGCCCCCAATTTAAAACAAAAATTAGTCCACAATCATATAAAAGATAACATACCCACTCCCTTCTTTCATAAAGAAGGCTTTTTTGGTTGCAGGCATTGTTTGGCTTGTAGAAACACTAAAAGCGTTAAAAGACATATAACAGAATTTTATGACCCAAAAGGGGAAACTAAATACAAAATACAACAAATGATCACATGTTTCTCTAAAAGAGTAATATATATATTGAAATGTTCATGTAATCTCTTTTATGTAGGCAGAATAAAGCGCCCTTTACAGACAAGGGTAAATGAACATATCGAAACATCAAAAAAGGTTTTGATAAACTTAGCGTCTCGGAACATTTTAATTTAGTACATAATAGAGACCCGCAACATCTAGAGTTTATGGCAATTCAAAAAGTCATGCTAAACTGGCGAGGGGAGGACGAAATAAGGAAATTGGGGAGAATTGAGACTAAATGGATTTTCAATCTAAATACTTTGGCCCCTTTTGGACTAAATGCGGACTTTGAATTATGTCACTTTCTATAGATCTTCATGGAAAGTGGGCATACAATTGACACATGATCAGAAGCCTCCTCTTTATTATTTGAATATTTATGTAATTCACCTACCTCTGGATTATTTTCACATTCACTAAACTTTTTTTTTTTAATTTACATTATTAATTTTTTATATTTGTTTATTTTTATTATTTTTTTATATTTTTTATATATTTTTCCATATTTGTTCATTTTTCTTATTTTAATTTATTTATTATTTTCTACTATAATATTTATATTCTTTATTATTTTTTATAATTATATGTATTCTTTTATTATTTATTATTTATTTATTTATTTTCAATTTAACAAATAATCTATTATCTATTATTTTCTTTTATTTCATCTTGAACTTTAATTATGAATTCTTCTCACTACCCTAATTTATAAACACAATAATCTAAACCAATTTCTAATTCATGGCTAAATATAAATATATTAGTAACACAGTTAGCACATATATTGATCATTATTAATCATAATCCATTTAGATTGGAAATCCATTGAATACATTTGCACTAATTCAAAATAAAAACAATTGCACATTTGCACAAATTCGTTTTAATGTATTTATTTATATACCTATGTATGCACTTTGAGGATACTGATTAAAGATTTGTCGGAGAGTTATGTTTACAGAATATATACACTGAGGAGGACTGTGAACTCTGTAACCCATGGAAACAGGAAGTGACGCGACGGCATTTGCGGCCGCGTCACACTGAATTCCGGACCGGAAAAACCGGAAGTTACGATTAACCCGCAAAGCATTATGGACTTGGTAGTTCAAAGAAACCGGAAGTGACGCGACGGAACTCCGGTCGCGCCATATACTCATACCGGTTTGGACAACAAAGAAAACTGGCGGGAAATTCAAGCTTTTTAAGGATGGAAAAGCAGAGACTGTTTGATGCTGACTGAGGAAGCCGTTTTTTTTATCGGCGAAACGCATTTTGGCTCTTAAAGTGAACCCATATATATTTTTTAGGTCACATACTTTTATACTGTATTGTTTTTTCACTTTCTAGACATACTAGTGTATTTTTATTAATATTACTTTATAATAAATTGTTCCCATTTTTTATTCACCTACTGTATCCTGTATAAGTGATTCAAAGGGAGGGGCAGTGTCACCCCATAATTTGACACTAGGCAAAAATACTTAGAGCCGGTTACCAAAGGCTCTAAATAAGGTGAGCGTTTCTATTTTTACTTATATGGACACTATTTCCATTTTGAGATGCTACACTTAGTATAAAATATCTGTGTCTTTTATATATTCGGTGGAGAATATTCATATCTTCCTCAGGAGAGAGGGGTCGTGTGATCTACCCAAAAAGACACAGACGCGCAGAAGTTTAGAGCCTAACACTAGAAAAGGCTCTAACAAATGTGAGTGTATACATATCTTCACCTATTCACTGATCGCCCCATTTAAAGACATATTACACTATTATCTGTATATGTTCTTTCTGTTCTTCTTTTTTATATATCAATTGTACCAAGAGAAACGAAAAAGGGTAAGAGTTCCAAGATTCAGTGAACGCACTTACCTAGCACTAATATACCACTGCACTCACTTAAGGAACTTTAGATTTGGATGGTGGCAACATCATCCAAACCAAAAGTTTTTCTGTGTTTTGGTGATTGTCTATGTGTGGTGGGTAATAAGGAGTACCCACAGAGTGTATACAGCAGCTGTACTACATCTTTTCTATTTACAACACAAAGCGCCATTTATTCCACACTTTTTCGTGTATATTCAAATGCCTTGTTTGCCTCGCGGCTAACAGACGGGCGGCACTGGCTGCTGTGCAGGCGGCTGGCGAGGGAGCTCTTCCTCTGAGCACTCTGCTCAGCTCCCTCGCGTGCCGCCTGCAGAGTGAGGCTGGGAGCCGGAAGATGATGTCATATTCCGGCTCCCAGCCTCACTATGCAGCTCGCGAGGGAGCTGAGCAGAGTGCTCAGAGGAAGAGCTCCCTCGCCAGCCGCCCGCCCAGCCCGACTGGCAGCCACTGGACCACCAGGGAGAAAGAGACCCCCCCCCCCAGCATTCCCAAAGGAAAGGGGCTGGGGGTTAAATAAATAAAAAAAGTGTTAATGTGAGTGATTGTGTGTGTGTCTGACTGTGTGTGTGTGTTTGTGTCTGACTGTGCGTGTGTGTGTGTGTGTGTTTGTGACTGTGTGTCTGACTGTGTGTGTGTGTGTGTTTGTGTCTGACTGTGTATGTGTGACTGTGTGTGTGTGTTTGTGTCTGACTGTGTGTGTTTGTGACTGTGTCTGTGTTTGTGTCTGACTGTGTTTGTGTCTGACGGTGTGTGTCTGACGGTGTGTGTGTGTTTGTGTCTGACTGTGTGTGTGTTTGTGTCTGACTGTGTTTGTGTCTGACTGTGTTTGTGTCTGACTGTGTCTGACTGTGTATGTATCCGACGGTGTGTGTCTGACTGTGTGTATGTGTATGACTGTGTGTGTGTGTTTGTGTCTGACTCTGTGTGTGTGTTTGTGTTTGTGTCTGTGTGTTTGTGTGTGTGTGTGTGTGTGTGTGTATTTAGAAGGTGGGGCGGGGGGGAAGGGTTGGGTGGGGGTGGCGCGGGGGGAGGGGAGCGCCTGAGTTTTGTCCTGCCTAGGGCAGCACAAAACAAGAATACACCACTGTGCATATTATAGTCACAATGTATTAGTACATAAGCGTCAAGTTATAGTGTACTGTTGAGTGTGTTATCACAGCTGGTTAAAGGGTATATAAGAAAGATGCAAAAGAAACGATATCCCCTCTGCACTCACTAAAGCCCCTTTCCCCCATGAACAACCTACATTTCCTATCTACCTTACACACTACATTCCCTATCCTCATACACATACTGCAGACTCAGAAGAGTCCCTATCATCTTTACACACACTCTACAGCCATTATATATATATATATAAATATATATATATATATACACATATACATACATATAAACAGGAAAGTAGAAAATAGCACTCTAAGGACTTCATAAGAATATGGTGAAAAAATAACTTAGCTTTTATTCAGCAACTGCCACAAAGTTTCAACGTTTCAGTTCTATTACAGAACTTTCGTCAGGAGAAAGAAGTAAAAATCAATAATAAGGTCTTTGAAATTACTGTAAATAAAATACTGGTAGATAGGAAAAAGTACAAGTACAGGCAAGTCACAAGAAGGGGATCACTCCCAAATCCCAGAAATACAAAGAACAGGTATAGTGTAGTTTAACACATATACAAAATAGGGTGCCATTGTCACAAATGTGCGGATATAGTTACAACTCAGGATTCACATGTTAACATGTAAAAAATCATGAGAGCAGGGGGTGGAGCTTACCTGCCGAGCAAAGCAGACGTGCCTGCTAAGAGCTCCTGAGCATGAGGCCAAGATTTGGGTTTTAACGCCCGACCACCCGAGCGTACCAGCTGTGGACAGCGACAGTCCCGACCAGGAGGTGATGCTGCATCGGGGGATACCAGATATGAGACCCTCCGTGGCTGAATCGACCACATCGCAGCCCGCGGCCTACACGGGTGACAGCCGAGAAGAGGCAGCCGCTCTCCCGGTTCTCTGGCTGAAGAGGGAGCACTCTCACATCGCCTCCCCCCCCACCGTGGACCGGTGGGGGATATCCTGGTCCCTGCCGAGCTGGACGACCGCAGCCCGGGACAAAGCAGTGGTAGCGGTGACACTCTCGGGCAGAATAAGAGCGGCGACACCCAAGATGGCGGAAGCGCCTAACTCTACAACACGCGGCAAGCAAATAATGCAATCAGAGGCAGCAGGCCCTAACACCAAAGCAACCGACAAAATCGAGGAGCTCTTTAACAAATTTTGGGCAAAGTTATCACGTAGAGCGAAGCAAACGGCATCCATACAAGAGTTACCCACGGGCGAATGTAGAAGCAGCAAGATGAGGCGCGGGAAACCCCTGGAAGGCGGGAAGGTGTCCCAAGCTAATACAATGAGCAGAAGCTACCCACCAGGGCAGAGAGCGCAGAGGGCCCTAATTGGCAAGCACAAACTACCCCCAAGGAGGGCTGCAACATATACACAAGAGCCTAAACCGAGAGCATGCAAGGTCCAACCAAACAGGAAGATCAAAGACCCCAGAAGACAACAAGGTCACTACCAAGAGGTACCAACCCCTCCGAGACCCTGGGGCAGGACTGACACCACGGTTACGCATCACCACAATATTTGCCATTTTGACATTGGCAGGGAACGGAGGAGTGCCTGCCAGAGGGGCCACAACAGGACCCACCCAGTAACAACTCCACATGGCACACCTACTATGGTCCACAAGCAGAGGTCCGGGATCAGCACACAGTCTCTCCTGCACCTGAGTGCCACACGCCTACCAGACAAGAAAGCGGCTGGTCTCCGCTGGCCCACCTGTGGGATCGGATGATGGACGGCACCGAAGGCGGACTATGCCCATACAAGCTTAAGAGCGGTGATAAGGAATAACCTCACCGTACAGGCTATAGCTGGTCACTGTTCCCCTACTTATTGTTACCTCAGCTTGATAATGTAGTAGGCATTGATAGACCAATCTACTTTATTTTTGCTCGTTAGCCATGTTTTTTTATTTATCTATTTTTCTCCTCTCTTAATACACTAGCAGAACGACAATCAACATATGTTTTAATTGTGTATGGCTGGTACTTAAATGTTACTAACAAAAATGTGCAGAACTTCAGTGCCAAATTGTGAATCTTGCTGGATATTTAGACATCTGCCTAACCACCCAGTGGAGACTTGTTTCATGTAGATGTGGATGCAGTAACACATCCTGTCTGTTTTTAAAATTTATGCCTTAGCCGTTTTGCTTCAGACCCAATCTGTCTGCATGGTACCTAAACGTGTGTTTCAGAGTAAATACAATATTTAAGCATGTCATAATATAATGTTTAAGCATGACCTCATATATATCATACATGACCTAATGCATTACTAATTAAGCAAGGTAGCATTGCAATCTCACTGTTGTTAAAAATTTTACTGACCTTTTCGACAAGACATAACTAATCAAACTTGTATGCAACGAATTGTATTAATCGTTACTTAATAACACCAAAAATTGTGCATGTTTCTCCTAAACCCCAATGTAACCCATAAATATGAAACGCTGGAGGATTGCCTTTGGGGTACCTTACAAGCGACTGTTACTTACCTATGCACTACTAAAATAAAGATTTAAAAAAAAATCAAAAAAAAATCATGAGAGCACATATTGTGAAGTATTTAATGATAACAGTATTAAAATCAAAACAACAAAAACACACTAAATAAAAACAAAATAAATATATCTTAGTGTGCAAGAGAGCTTTTCAACCACCAATGGGCTAGGTCCCCTTAGAGAGAGTCTGCCGATAGTACCTCAGGACCAATTGATCAGTGTATGCCAGTCCAAGAATATACTTGTTGGTAAAATGGATGTAATTTTCGTGGTCCTGTAGGTTATGGCTTCAGTCTCAGAGATTTGCTGGGGGCACTCATGCATACTCGACGCTTTTCATCCGAGGACTTTATCAACAGCTCTTGATAAAGTCCTCGGACGAAATGTGTCGAGCTTGCATGATAGAGAATATAATTATTGATATAGATAGTAAATAAAAAGATAGTAAAGGATATACCGGTAGATAGATTTTCACAAGCATACAAAATACTTGACTGAATCCAATTCACTATAGATTAGCTATAAATATTATTTTAAAAAAGAGCTCTGTTTGTTTTTCTAGAGGTATTTAAGTACTTAGATGAAGAGAGCTCTCTCTTTAAAGACACACTACAGGGTCAGGAACACAAACCTGTATTCCTGACCCCGTAGTGCTAAAAACACTATTTAGCCCCCTTCCACCTCTTAAAAACACTGGCCAAAGTTAGCATTCTAATTTGTATGTGTGTGAAAAATGCAAAAAAACTGATTTGAAAGCTAATTTTGGCCAGTGTTTGTGACTAAGTGGCTACTAAAAAAGACTGGACATACCCCATTTGTAATACCTTGGGTTGTCTATTTTTGCAAATGGTATGCCATCATGGGGGTAATTCTCATTCCTGGGCTACCATACGGTCTCAAAGGCAACATAACCAATCTGGCGAATTTTAATGTTTAAAAATGTTAAGAAATGTAAGTCTTATATTACACTCTGTAACATGTGAAAACACCATAAGACCTGTACATGGTGGGTACTGTTAAACTCAAGAGACATCGCTGAACACAAATATTAGTGTTTCTAAACATTACAACTTATCACAACAATTATATAGTCAGTGAAAGTGCCGTTTGTGTGTGAAAAATGCAAAAAACTGCATTTAAGTAGACAATATCATTGTTGTAATATGTTTTACGGTTTGGAAACACTAATATTTGTGTTCAGCGAAGTCTCTCGAGTAAAAGAGTATCCCCCTATGTACAGGTTTTATGGTGTCTGGAAAGTTACAGGGTAAAATATAGGGTTTGCGAACCATATTCTCTGGACTTTCTGCTTGCGTTGTCAGGCAAGTCCCTCAAATTGTAATTAATGCAATTACTTAATCATGTAAAAATATTAGTTAAATATATATGTAGAATTTAAATATATATTTATATATTTTTTTTTGTTAAAAATTTTAATTTATATATAGATATATATATATACATAAATGATCTAAGTACTTTAATTTACTTTAGTAAATTTTTTTTTTACTTTTACGTACTTTTAAAACTTTTTTTTTTACAGGCAGCAGGGGGACAGCCTGAGAGCTCAGGGAGTTTCCCTGCTGGCAATTCCAGTCATGTAATTGCAAGAACCCTGCGATTACATGGCCCTGGAGGGCCGGATTGTGCAGAACGGGGCTACCTGAGCTTCCAGGCAGCCCCCTAGATCGCGAACTCCATCGTAGGATCGTCAGGGACCCGATAAGTCCCCTGTATGGCGGGGACATTCTATGCCGCCCTAAGGCGTTTAGGACAGCCCAAAAAAGGACGTCATAGATTGCCCACCGTTCTTAAGGGGTTAAACTTCTGAATATTATAAAGAAACTAAAAGTGCTTGCTGTGATGCTTATCTGCTCAAATCTCTCATCAAGAGAATTAATGCACACATCCAAAATGCTGCAGAAGCACTCAATTTTAAATTTGTTTGCAGGATAATCATTTGGATCATCTGGTGCTTCATAACAAAACATCCTCTTTTTTTTTTTTTTTTGTCACACTAAAGGAGGAAGCACATGATCTATTTCTAATTATAACTCTTTTGCCTCTTCCAGTAAAACTTCAAACCCTTTATCAGAATGATAATCCTTCAAAAAAAGTAGTTGTGGGTTCCAGAACATCTATCACATCTGGAAGAAACATACTTCTGCTTAGAAGAAGCTTGCTAATAAAGTTAATTATATTTAGTATGTTGTACCACAATACAATAAGACACAAAAATTTAGAAGTTATTCAATTCTTTTGCGAGAGATTCAGCACCAGGCTGTACCATTGGTGTGTGTATTGTCTCTTGAAATGTCAGACAAAGCATCACAAATTTCTCCAACCTGGAATCTAGACGGAAGAATAGCGTCTATTCCTTGAAGACCATCTGGTGTCAAACAAATGTTTTATAGTTAGTTTACCAATGTGCTTCTTCAAGACATTCCATTGATCTGTGGAACCGTAAAAAAAAAAAAAAAAAAATTTCTGTACAACAGAAAAGAATGCTGCAGCATCCCTGCATGACATGGCTGCATCATTCACCACTAGATTTAATGTATGAGCGCTGCAAAGAACATAAAAGGAACGCAAGTTTAAATCCAGGATCCTTTTCTGAACACCTTGTTGTTTGTCCTTCATATTGGATCCATTATCATATCCTTGTCCTTTCATATCAGCAAGTGGAATCTTAAGATTTTCGCATTCAGTCAAAGTTGCCCCAGACAGATCTTCAGTTGAACTTTGGATTCATCTTTGGGGGGTGTGGCTGGCTACGATACTGAACAGACGTCTTTCCACGTGACCCTGCAAAGGCCCAGGGACAAGAGACTTAAGCCACAGAAACATTAAGCTTTAACCCCTTAAGGACAGATGACGGAAATATTCCGTCATGATTCCCTTTTATTCCAGAAGTTGTGTCCTTAAGGGGTTAATGCCAGAAACAGTGACACCCCTCAAACAGAGACAATGGGGCACAAAAATAAGAAGCCTTACCGCCTAGAAACGACTAGAAAGCCCGATATACAGCTCTCTTTTGAGCGACCGGCGCTACAGCAGAAATCAAAGATGGCGCCTGAGGCCCACTATGACACTGAGATGTCAGAGGCCTCACAGGACGACAGAGAGGCCTTACCCTCTCCTAAATTGGATAAAGCTTCCCTCTAGTCTGGGTCAAAGGAGGACGAGTCGCACTCAACAAAAGGGGACACAAAGCGTCTCCTGGTGGACCTCCGGAAAGTATGGAAGGAAGACCTCTGGGTGGTTCAGACTGAAATAGGGGTGGTCCGGGAGCTGGAAACAAGAGAGACCTCCAGAGAAGTGAAGTCTCAAGCCACCAACAAATAACTGACAGAACTTACCTCTCAGGTGCAGCATTTGAGCAGAGTGGTGACTGCGCTGGAGGTCCGCCACAGGCGAAGAAACCTACAACTCAGAGGCATTCCTAAGACGGTCAAGAATACGAGGCTCCAGCTCCTACCATGGGTCCGCAATATACTGACCACCATTGGCATTGAAAGCAGCTCAGACTCTCCACTGATGATCTCAGCGTTCAGAGTATGTAAATCGACCGCAGCACTAAGTGGATTACCCAGAGACGTTATATCAGTGACCAGGGATGTGTCTGCGAAGTTAGAGATAATGCAACATTCCAGGGAGATGGGGTCGGGGCCTTGTGAGGGTCATATGCCGATATCCCGTTCTTTGTCCTAACAGAGAGGAAAAGGCTGGCATAATAGCCAGAAGACTGCGGGACTCGTCCATCAGGTACCGATGGGGTATGGAGGGATCCCTATAACCTGACAAGGGAGGAGAGAGCATTAAACTAACATCCTGAGATGATCCCGAATCGTTCCTGCTAAAACTAGGCCTGTCACCCCAGCCGCAACCTAAAGACTCACCATCTCCACAATGATCAGATGAGTGCGAGGCCATTGCCAAACGCAATTACAGAATCACACCACGAAACACTACCAAGAAACCGTAGTCTCTGTTTGGAATTCCAGCCCTCAGCCACACAGATCTTAGAATGATCTATAGGTGCTTGATGTCATCAAATGCAAAAAACATATATGGACATTTAGCCTTCTATGTGCGAGCAAACTGTGAGATGTATCGATAATGCAATACCATATTTATGCTCAGTAAATGCACCCCTTTGTGTTCTTATAATGCCCATAAATGTTTTTCTACCTCACATATTGGAAAAGTTGTATGACGCTGAGAATAACTCAATAAAATACAACAAAAAAACAAAAAACTAGACATCTTTCTTCTATACAGATCTCTGGTCCAGCAGTAGGAGACTCTGCTTCCATGATGGACACAAAATCAATCATTGTCATTTGTAATTCAGTAATCACAGAATGTGTTTTGTTATTTCTTTCACTATAAGACTGATGAGTTAGCTTTAAATGTCCTTCCCTAAATAATGTTGGAAAAGTTCCTTATTTTTTATTCTTTTCAGATGTTCCTGCAAACAGTGTAAAATGTGGCCAGCATTTACACAAGATGCAGATAATCCCCATTATTTTCACTGTATAAAATATCTCTGCTACATCGTTTTTTACTATTTTACTATGCCTACTCAGTTGTCAAAAATCTCTTTTTCAAAGAACCAACTCTTCTTGAGAGTTCTTTAAGTCTCTTATAGTGACAAGATTAGAGTTAGACATTTCATGAAAGGAAATATTTTAGACGAGTTCTTCCAATGACTATAACTTCCACGTGCAAAATTTGTAGTAACTTTAGTTGTAAATGGCTTACAACAAATACAAAATACTTTGTCCAATATAAATGTCAATTAGCCTCATCTTTGAAAAAACAAAATTAGTCTTTTTTGCATTGCATGACCTTTCCTGACAATAGCATACACTAGTGAGGTGATGAGAGCAGCTGAACAATCAGCTGTATCAGACACAATCAGGGTTTCCAAAGAAGATTGTTCCTCCAGCTCCTCTGTTTCTTATTCTTCGTGTAACCCTTCTGAATCAGTTTGAATGTACTCTTCCAGCTATGTAAAGAATATGAATTTCACACAAAATCCATTATAAGGAAAAGTGAAATTTCATCCATATCTCCACAGCTCAACCTGCCTTCCTTGCTCCGGTCATGTTCCTTGATGTAGATTCTTTCCTACTCTGCGGCAGCCAGAACAAGCCAGCCTGGTCAAAATAGTTCCTTTCTTTCATTGTATTCCTCCTAGATTATCTGCTTTGCTTCTCCACCAACGTTTCCTCTTGTAACAATGCATAAATAGCCTCTAGAATGTAAGCTCATTGAGCAGGGCCCTCCACCTCTCTGTTCCTGTACATCCAGTTGTCTGGTTACAATTACATGTCTGTTAGTCCACCCATTGTACAGTGCCACGGAATCTGCTGGCGCTATATAAATAATAAATAATAATAATAATAATAAATTATTGAAGTTGGCACAGGGGAAATTATTAAGATATTGAGTTGAGCATTATATCCATGTCTTGTTTCGTGAGCATGTACACTATACAGAGACTTACTGGATCCAGCATCGGACACTACAATTGCTCTACCCTGTGGGTAGTGTTCCATTGAGTGGTTCTCCTGCTCTTACCTATCACTATTCTTTGGCATCAGGGTCTGCTGCGCTCTTCAATGCAAAGAGATAACAAGGGTGTTCTGATTAAATAAATTATTTGATAGGGATTAAAATTTTATAATTTATTAACTGCTTGGTTGAATTTAAACAGCCCAGTAAGAAATCAAACTATTTAAGAACAGTTTCATTACTTATAATGGGTGGGCAGCATGGCACTCCACGCATCATAATCAGTACAGCAAGCTGTAGTCCTTTAAATTATCATGTATGAGCACCTACCTTGTCACACTAATGCAAAGACATTGCTATCACTTTACAACGGCATCCTAGATTTCTAAATCAGTGATTATAACATGTGGAGGAGCAATAATGCTTCGTTAGAGGAACACTCCAAACACAAACACTACAACCAGATGTAGTGATTATGGTACCAGGTGTACCTTGATGCCCTTCTAGAGTAATTTGTGCTGCATTTGACTTTTCCTTTTGAATGTCTTCTCTTACACAAGTCTAATACAAAATCTGCATTCAGTGGCTGACATTACTCAGAGAATGAAAGCAGCTCTGCACAAACCTGTATAGCTCAGTAGAGCTAGCCAAATTCTCCTGCAAGGGTAGGGGGCACCTTAATGTACATGGATGTAGTGCACAAGTACCTTTTGGGGGTTTTCATTAAAATTAAAAACACATTTACTGAAAGTTTAACAGGGAAATAAATAGCTGGGTATAATAAACATAAACAAACAACCTGCCAACCCTAAGAAGATGGCGGACCGAATGGCTAAGGATTAGTAGGGATAAGGGATTACAGTGCAAGACAAACAAGGTGGGACAGAGTGATAGCAGAAAGGTGATAGAGTGAAAACAAACAGGACTAGAGGGACAGGGTATTGGTGTGATAGAGTGACACAACAAGGCTAAGAGAGACATGGGATTAAAGCAGCACTGTTAATCCTCCCCTCCCACGCACTCCCCCCAGACAGAATATTTATGAAATAATAATTCTGATCGTTTTGGAATTTAACTGAAATTCCAACTCCTTCAAGAGATATACAGAGATAAACAAGGTACTGCTTTTTCTGTGTTTTTATTTTGCACAACTTTTTTTTTTTAGACTTAGGGTGATGACTGCAGGGAATTGGCAGTGTCTATTATATAGGATCCCGCGGTCTCGAGGAGACCTTAATGCTGTACTCTCATGCTCCAGATCGAACAAGTTTAACTCATGACAGGTCCCTAGAACCTGGGTAATGTAGATAGGAGGAGGGGTGGTGGATGTCAAGCCCCCTGCCTTATCACATTTTATCATAATTAAGTGCATGCATTTTTTCAATTGGGATATATATATCCCAATTATATATATATTTGTAGTCGAGGACAATAAGTCAAGTTATAGTAGTGGTGGTACAAGGCAGTTGTGGTGTGCCGAAACCGACGTTTGGGTAGGCCTGTAAAAGAGGGCCCACTAAATGAATGCTTAATAAAGGGAGCAGTAAGTGGGCTGAACCAGGAAGTCTTGGCCCAGAGGAAGGGGAGGCCTGTGAATTTATACGCCGGACAAACCCTCCCATAACTACAGGCTCCGCCTTTCCATTTGTAGTCAGGGACAATAAGCAGAGTTATAGTAATGGTGGTACAAGTCGGTTGTGGTGTGCTGAAACCGACATTTGGGTAGGCCTGTAAAAGAGGGCAAAAAGTTTAACAGTGTAATCCTTAGGACGTGTTGACATAACATAACCAGTACTTTAAATGCCTGCCTCAGTTCTCTCTCCGTTTGGTGTATGTAGACAATTCCAATGTCCCAATTTATGATGTGCGCTGGAATGTTTACTAAATGCTGCAAAAAGAATGACCTGAATATGATGAAGGGCTGTATTAGAGTTTTATGAATTGTGTCCTGACGTACAGGATGAATGTGATGTAGTGAATGGTTAATGTGTAACCTTAAGAGAGCACATGCCTGTGTAGTCCTTTGAGTGTAGGACAAATTGGTCTAGTATGTTGAACGGACACCATTTATTGTTGATAGTATGTAGGTTTATGTCTGCAGGTGGGTATAAGTTTAAGAGTTTGTAAGCTAATGTAAGGTTGAGGTGGCCAAAGGATGAGGCCCCAGGGAGAGTGCGCAGTTTAGCGGACAGGGGCACATGTATGAGTGAGGGATGGATGATGCATGATTGGCTATGTGTGGGAGTGTGAGATGTGAGGAAGTGGGTGGTGACAGATCAGACTGACCTCAGTGCCACTTAGGAGCCGGGCCAGCAACAAGTTTCCCTGCCTCCTCCTGTTGCTGGATTTTCTGCCTGGGGGCCCTGGATGCTGGATCCTGGTTGTTACAGCCATCCTGTGTGCCCTCAGTGCTGGCACTGGTGCTGCTGCTGCTGCAGATGGTGGCCTCCTCCTTCCCCAGCAGCCTGGAGGTGAGGTTCCCCTCCCCAGCAGTTTGGCTCCCCCTGAATCTCCCTCCATGGGCACCCGCCCTCTGGCTTGTCTGACCCCAGCTCTACTCCTCGGGCCCGGTACAGGAGCTGCAGCCCGGGCCCGAGGCTTCAACAGGGCCGCGCACCTGGACCACGTGGCACGCGGCCTGCTCC